CATACATACACACATATATATAAAGAATCCACTTATTGCATTGGTTCATATGAACCAGTTAACTGCTCTTAGACTAGGCACATTTTAAAATTCTTCATGAAGATAAATGTATCAACAACAACCCCAGGTGTTACCAGTGACAATATTACTGCTAATATCTAAAACTCTTCAATGATTTGGACGTCCTGACACTCCTTTGTTTGGTGCTTTCTCGTTTCCTCAGTTGGTACTGAGACACAAACGGCTTTTAGTCATCTGTCTCCACTAAATATATAGAATCTTACGTAAACTTCCTATGTTTTTTGTGTTCCTACAAACAAGATCTTTATCGGTTTTTTTCCCATCTTGGGTGTTTCCACTAAAGTGTGGCCATTTCTTGGACCTCTCAACAGAACAACATACTCAAAGGAGGAAGTATAGGTTATCTCCAGAAGGAGAGGATGTGCAGCAGGGAAGCCTCCTTTCCTCATGTCATGTCTATTAACATTTACTCAACTGCACTGATAGATAGGCATGGCTGAGTTTGACATAAACCTCAACAATTCAGAATCTGATTTACCCTGAGTCCTGTATCCTAACATCACACTACTTCTTCATGCCACCCTAGAAATGTAGTGGTGCCATATTACCCACCCTCCACCACCCAGTCTGACCTGTGTGTGTGTGTGTGTGTGAGAGACTTTTACCCTTCATCTGAGGTGAGGCTGTGTGTGTCCGTGGTGTCCTCCATGGGCACTGGTGGTGGGGGGGGCAGCATGTCCACTAGGTGTAATGATGCAGAGTAATGCAGCATGCGAGGACAGCCAGTAACTTTATCACACTCTGGACAGAAACATAGGACAGGCAGAAATACAAATAAGAAATACTTACCAATTACCTGCAACTAAGAACTATTATTTCAAATGTGTGTTACAGTACACTTTCTAGCTTATTTAGCTCATGGACAACAATGACAACGCATGGACTGTCGTACCATGCCGGCCTGATGGGACGTGACTGAGTCTCTGTTTGTAGAGTCTGGATGGATAAGCCTGGTTCCTGGTCGGCACTATGGGGACGCTGTTCACTGCATGCAACTCTGTGGGAAACAAATAAGTTCATCTAGAACGCATTACCCAACATTCTATGTTGATACATTGTCAAATGTTCAAACCAAAGCATCAGAAATGTCTGAGAAGTTAGCCGTGGTATCTACATCACATTCTATCCACCACTCTTCACCTTGCTTGCTGTGGCTTTTTTCCCACGACTCCCTCAGCACACCCATCTTGGGCTGTGGCCGTATGGCCTGTTTCCACGGCAGAGCCTCCCGGCTCCCGAGGGGTGGGGTGTTGGCGACAGGCTGAGGGAATATCTGGATGGTCTCGGCTCCTTGCTGATGGGGCGGACCGTGAGGCATCTTGGGGCGACACCCGGGACTGTTGAAGGTCTTGAGGCCGCTGCCCATCAGGTCCACGTAGAAAGTGCCGTAAAAGCCACAGCTGTCGGTCACAATGGGGACGGCCGAGTCCACGCGGCCAGGGTCCTTCCAGGAGGCCGGGAGGCCTGATGAAACACAGATGAGTATCTACTGACACTCCAGAGCATATTCATCAGAAATGATGAAATATTATAGGTAAACTGACATGGTGTCTTTCACAACTCTAGTTCAGTTCATTTGAAAAAAAAAAAGACACATTGTTGCCTTTTGGTTCTGGTCCGTTTCTTGTTCACATTGGCTTATTACTAACCAGCAAATACCGGTTATCAGTATATTATGAGTGGAGACAGCCTCTGGACGTCATGTATCATAAACAGTGATGAGCATAAGAATAGGAGAGGATAGTCGCCGTGTGGCCGCTATGATTCACATACTGTTAAATGAGTAACCGCTAAAGTTAACTGAGGAGCACACAAGCTCTACACACTTCTGTTTCAACTGCACTGGAGCTACCATGGTTACCAAATGAACCACCGACGATAAAGCAGATGGATTTAATAATAATAATTAGGCTTTTGAATTCATGCAAAAATCATAAAGCATCACAACATTTCACTCCACAAACACGAGGCATCCACCTGGCAGCCGACTGACAGCATCCTTTTATTTAACTGACACCTTCCACATCAAACCAAACTCAGCAGTTAAACAGAGTTCAGGTGAGCCAAACCAAACCGGTGAGATGTGAAAGCCCCCAGCCAGGAGCCTCCAATGTACAACTCAGACAAATAGACAAGCTCAGTGTGGCAATCGTTACTCACTGGTGCCCCTGAGTCCTGGATGTTTCTGACCGTGGGCCCAGAGGTCCTGATACTTGTGGTTTAAGGCAGGTCTCCAGCCTCCAGAGATCCAAGGGGAGTCTGGAGCTGCCATCCTGAAGAGGAAGCAGCACAGGGAAAGGATTTGAGAAGTTTCATCATGCTTTAGCATCGTCTCTAGTGAAACTACGTACGAGTAGAGTCCTTCAATCTGAACTAGATCACTGCTTCTGCCGTACTTCACAAAGTCATGATACTTTCATAAACTATCATTAAACCACATTTAGCTTTGGCGGTTTGGACTTATTCATATGACTTCAGTGTGATCACATCATCACCAAGCTCTGACAATTCTGTGCACGTTACCTGTGTTTTATGATGAGATCTTCACCGGCTAGTCTGCGCAAACCTAAAAGACAAACATACAAAAGTATTAAAGATTATACACAGCTGTGGAGAGAGTATTCATATCATTTACAAAAGGTTCTTACAGTATGAGAAGTAAAACTGTAGGGCTGGATGAGCCCTCCCTAACTTTATATAAAGATACTGAGGAGCCTATGTTCACAAAGTCACAAACTGGAGGGGCAGCAGCACCGGCAAACTGCCTGCTTGAATCTAAAGTAAAAAGTACAACATGTACCTCTGAGATGTAGTAGAGTAAAAAGTACAATATTTACCTCTGAGATGTAGTACAGTAAAAAGTACAACATGTACCTCAGATGTAGTACAGTAAAAAGTACAACATGTACCTCTGAGATGTAGTACAGTAAAAAGTACATGTACGTCTGAGATGTAGTACAGTAAAAAGTACAACATGTACTTCTGAGATGTAGTACAGTAAAAAGTACAACATGTACCTCTGAGATGTAGTAAAGTAAAAAGTACAACATGTACCTCTGAGATGTAGTACAGTAAAAAGTACATCCCTCTTATATGTGGAGGAGAGATATTAAGAAGCATGAAATGGAAATACTCAAGTAAAGTACAAATACCTCAAAGTTGTACAGTGCCTGAATAAATACATAGAACAGCTGTTTAGCTGATGAAATCACAGACTTAAAGTCCTGCAGGTGGAAGTGAGACTCTGTTTTGAACTTTCTGCACCTTTAGCCCTGCCATGTCCTGGTATCAGGTGGCCTGTCCTGCTGTGGCGTCTGCAGAGGTAGACAGCCGACACCATCAGAACGCACCACAGGAGGGCGCCAATGCTGCCGATCAACACCGGGTCCTGAAGCAGGGCCAGGACTTGGGACAGATCCCGTGTTTGGCCGTCTGACTCGTGGGGACCGCCAATTTGTGGGTCTAAGAGGCAAACAGATGACATCACATATGATAACTGCTCCTCTGTGATGTGGTTTTGATTACACACAGAAATGAACAGCTAAGTTTTAGCGTGGCCCTTTTGCTCACTGATGACAAATCCATGAGGGTCGCTCAACATTCCCACTCCAGCCCCATTGACAGCTGCAATGGTGATCCAATACCGTCTCCCTGGTTTGAGGGTGGAGATTTCGAGGTTGTGTTGGCCGCTGTCCACTGTCCAGTTTTGGTACTGCTGCTCCTCAGACTCCACACAAAACACCTGGAGAAACAGAGTACATGAAGTGCTACAGCTCGTGCACAAAGGCAGCATCTTGGGATATTTAGTAAGGGATTATGTTTCCACTCTGCTCAGAGGCTGATGTTACATAGTGTCAGGAAGTGTTCTCCAGTCATTACCTGGTAACCCTGTATGATCCCGTTGTGGGTTTCGTGAGGAGGAGGCCCCCAGCTCAAATGGATGGTGTTATTCTGCTCATGGCTCACTGTTATGGACACAGCCAGTGGAGAGGCACTGGGCACTGCATAAAGAGGAGGAGGAGTTCTCTGTTATCCTCTCAACATGGCTGTACAGTCCAGGAAAACAAGAAGGACACAAATATTACTAAATCGGATCATTTCTCACCTGTCTCGGGGACTCTGAGGTGCCGGGTGTTGCTCTCCCTCCCATACAGGCTGCTGCCATAGGGACGAACTTTGAACTCGTACTTGTAGCCCCTCTTCAAGGGGCCCACAGGAGCCTGGAAGCTGGGCAGAGCCACCTTTTTCGCTGCCCAGTCGGAGCTGGCGGGCAGCAGAGAGCGATAGAGCACCTCAAAGCCGTCGAGGTAGTGAGGCTGGGCTGGGAGGGACTGGAGCTGAGCGGAAGAGGAAACACCACATGGGTCATACGCCTGAAATATTCATGCGGTCTCTGAAACGATCTGAATCAGATTGCCCATACCTTCCATTGTACTCGCGATATGTTAGACCCAGGGGTCACGATGGTGACGTTTTCCAGAGCAACTCGCAAGGCTGACAGCTCTTTGTGGAGGTCTCTCTGAGTACTGCTGGTAGCCTCTGGAAACACAAGGTTTTTAAAAGAAGGACAGACAGGAAAGGACTTGTAAACAACAAGATAACTCACAAAAACTATTTAAAGCAGATGTGATGGTTGTAACTCGCTCTCCAGATGACAATGTTGGCAACTACTGCGTCACCGAGCAACATGTTGGTGTGTTGTCCTCTTGATTCTCCTAAATATCGGACAGAACTGCCAACTCGTTTCCGTCCACTAAGACTCGATGGAGTGGGAGGATTCTAAGGTCTGGACTGAGGCAACCTCGGGTTCATTCTTGTAAGGCTATAATGAGTAATGCATTTTTATTTAAAATCACTTGTTTGCATAGGCTGCAATATGGAAGCCCACTGTCTCCTGTGTTTATGACTTGAGAACAGGTGAGAATATTTGTTTTGCCAGGATAATCAGGATAAAAGTTCCTGAACATTTCTTTATTTGTGGAAATAAGGTGGCAAAAGAAAAAGTATTGCCAAGACCATTTTAGTGATTGTTGTACTACTCATTAGGGCACAAGAGGCTGAAGTGCACCCCTACCCCATTCAACCTCACCTGGAAGAAAAGATGAACGCTGTTAGTCCTATTTTGAACACGGGGTCGTGCTGCACTTCAGCCTCTTGTGGCCCAAATGAGTATTAAACAACAAAACACATCAAGACATGATCATACTGACAAACACAACCTAGCAAGGCTTTATTCTTCACTTGTTTCCACAGATGAGAAAGAAAATAAAGGAACCTAAAAAGGTTATCCTGTGCCCAGTCTCTGGTCAATGTTAATATCTGGTTGACAACATTAGCCTGAATCCAGCCTCATGAATGGCTCTTCACCCCTTATTAACCCCAAACATTTCACATTTCATTTGTTTAACCACAACTTGCAGTGTTTTGTATGAAGGTATTGTTGGAGCAGAACACCTGACATGGAATGAATAGTCAGCAGTAACTTGACAACTTGTTATTTGTGTATATGTGTTTTGCACCATATTCACTGCAGTAACTGGAGCAACAATGTGAACGCGTGAGTTTCTTAGTTTGTCATTTGTAGAACAGGATTTGTGCACCTGCAATGAAGAATTACAGAAGGTGTAACTGTTGTGTATGCAACTCCTAAAACATTCTACTCTGTGACTTCAATTCCACCATCTCTGGTGCTCCAATAACACCTTCATATTAGTGAACGTGTAAACAGACAGATGAGAGCCTCCTGTCGAACTTCTTCTTCCAGGATGAACCACAAAATGAAGTTCAGCACTAACAGTCCCTGAGTCGGCCGGCAGGCAACAAAACTGTGAAGTGAGAAACAGTCAGTGATTCTGCTCTTTCAGACATCATCTTACCTTCAACTAGTAGCTGTGCGCTGGCAGTGACCACACCTGCATCATTGACAGCAGTGCAGGTGTACTTCCCAGCATCCTGGGCTGTCACATAGTGGATCTGGAGAGTGTGGTCTGGGGTTACAAGATATCTAAACACACATAGAGCAGTTAGTTTCCCCATTTACTGTCCCTCTGATCTCTTTTTGCAACAACTGAAATGTGGATTCAGCAGATATTTTAGTTGGTTTCATTTAGAACCAAGAATGTCAGGAAAGAAAGAAGCCCTGAGGAATGTTGCTGGTAGCGCAGTGACAAGCTGAAGTAAAATACCTCAGTGTGTGAATGGCAGTGTGAATTGGGATAATGCAATTGTGCAGTATATGTCCAGCCTGATGTTAAGCATCAGTTAGAAGCTTCCAGCTACAGGTTCAAATGGTGACTATCGGTAAAAGTCTCAAGTCAAATCTTTCTTTTTCCTTTTGAATGTCTCACAGGAAAAGAAGTCAGCACTGTGTAACATGAGGTCCGATTTTCTGCACGTTACAGTCATCTGAATGCAAACATATATCACATCAATCAACATTCACTCAAGTTCCCTCTATGATTGGAGTGTGTATTTCTGTGTATTGCCATAATGAAGTACCTGCCATTGGGCAGTGGCCCCTGCTCTCTGATCCAGACCACAGCAGGCGGGGGGTCACCTGTAGCCTGGCAGTAGAACTGGGCAGACTCCCCCATCCTCACGGACACATTTTCTGGCTTCAGCACCAACACCGGCTTGGCTGCAGTGGACGAGAAGAGAAACTTTCTACTGTACCGTACCGCACTGTACTGTAGTGTGAACATGGAGCTGAGTTCCACAGTGATATTGTTAGAGCAGTACTAATAAGCAGCTATGGGAACGTGGTCTCACCCAGCACAGAGAGCCGAGCCGCCCTGCTCTCCCTCACTCCCCCGGTGTTGCTGGCCACGCACACATAAGCACCAGAGTGGGTCTTCTCTGCAGGGGCGATGATGAGCCTCCCACTCAGCTCCTACAGTGCAGACACACAGGAGCAGAGACATACACTTCTGACTCGGTACTGGTATATGACCTTGGGTCTACAATATTTATATATTTTTGCAGTTTCTATTCTGATTAAAATATGAAACAGTTATGTGGTGGGTTTTAAAGAACCATATCAGTCCATAAAGTTCCATGTCCTGCATCTCTGACAGATTTAGATCCACTAAACTAGAGAGACTTTGTCAAAATAATGTGGTGGGTGTTATTTCCACAAACAAAGAAGTATCAAACTGCAACACAAATGAAATCATTTTCAGACGTGGGACATGTAACATGATGGCTTCATTTCATCTATAAAGTGTCTGTTACATGAATAACAGCTTCATTCACACATGACAGTGACAAGAAATAGACTCCATATTTGCATGATAGCTACACCTGGTCTACAGTTTGTGTTGAGAAGTAATAATATGAGCTGATAAGATAGTTTTCTATTTTCTCTGCATCACTGTTGGATTTTGAATAGTTGTCCATTGGAGGCTGAGGTAATGACCATCGGGAGGGAAGCTCAATGAACACTTTCATCATTTATTAGAGATTTCTGCTCTGTTCTATGAAATTCAACAGCGCACACGTCGTTTCATTTTGATTTGGTCACATACTGTGTCTAAAGCGCTTTGCTGAATATTCATAACTTCATCCATGCAGTTTGCATATTTGAGAAGGTTAGTTTTCACTCCGTTTCGTCCTCCACCGTGAGGGTGACAAATAAAAGAAAATCTCCGTGTGAATAAGAGTTGATAATTAAGTGACAAATTGATAACAGTGCTCTTGACAGTGCAAACCTGATGTGCAATGTTTAGCTGCTGCTGCTGCCTTCACATTAATCGTACAGACTCAGCTCAGACTAGTGCAGTGTAGAAATGTTACAAGACTGGACGTCTTACTTTAAACTGTCTCTCTTATTCAGACACAATGTAAAATAGCCTTCACATGTATGCTAGGGCTGAGGGCTTACTGTGTAGTGGTGATCAGTGTTGTTGATGGGCAAGCCATTCTTCTTCCAGATGACATTCGGTTCAGGGTGTCCCATTGGGGGGCCACAGTTTAAGACAGCCACCTCCCCCTCTGCCACCTCCACATCACTGGGCTGCAAACTGAACTCCTCCTGCAACACTGCAACAACAGACCGGGGTCAGACAACACAAACATCACTCTGTGTTGATTTTGGCGCTCCCTGTGGACAAAAGTGGTAGTGCCTCTGAACACCAGCTTCCCTTTGAAAAATCTCTCATTTTAGTGCAGCAGGGTCTCACAGTCTCCCCGGCTCAGTCCTGGTTCTGGTTCTCCCGTGCCTCCCTTCCCTCCAGCGGGCCCAGCAATACAGCACGGGCCTCCAGAAGCTTGATGTCGGTGTTGGCTCTCAGCGGGGACTGGAGGAGGAGAGAGCAGAAGCTCTGCTCCTGATCAGAGGAGGAGCCACTGCTGCCTGGAGCTTCCCGTTGGAGCTCCGACTGCTGAATCTGGATCTGTCCACGGTGGACCGGTCTCTGCTGGAGGATCTGGGTCCGTCCACGGTGGACCGGTCGCTGCTGGATGATCTGGG